AAAAAAAAAATATAAATGGCCTTATAAGCCCTTTTTCCTTGGAACGCCGGCAAGAGTGAGTGCCGTGGCGTCAGCCTCGCTCACAGCCGCCTCCAGCAATCCTCCTGCCTCGGCCTCCCTCCCGAGTAGCTGGGACGACAGGCATGCGCCACCACGCCTGGCTCATTTTTTTTGCATATATATTTTTAGTTGGCCAATTAATTTCTTTCTATTTTTTAAGTAGAGACGGGGTCTCGCGCTTGCTCAGGCTGGATTCGAACTCCGACCTCGAGCGATCCTCCCGCCTCGGCCTCCCAGAGTCTGTTTTGTGTATATTTCTTTTTATTTATTCATTTCTTTGAGACAAGAGCCTCGCTTCGTTGCCCAGGCTAGAGTGAGTGCCGTGGCGTCAGCCTCGCTCACAGCAGCCTCCAACTCCTGGGCTCAAGCGATCCTCCTGCCTCGGCCTTCCTCCGGAGTAGCCAGGACTTCAGGCATGCGCCTCCACACCCGGCTCATTTTTTTTGTTTTTTTCTCTATATATTAGTTGGCCAATTAATTTCTTCCTATTTATAGTAGAGACGGGGTCTCGCTCTTGCTCAGGCTGGCCTCGAACTCCTGACCTCGAGCTATCCTCCCGCCTCGGCCTCCCAGACTGCTGGGATTGCAGGCGTGAGCCTCCGCGCCCAACCTATATATTTCTAGTTGTCCAGTTAACGTCTGTCTGTTTTTTAGTAGAGACGGGGTCTCGCTCTTGCTCAGGCTGGCCTCCAACTCCTGACCTCGAGCGATCCTCCCGCCTCGGCCTCCCAGAGTGCTGGGATTGCAGGCGCGAGCCTCCCCACCCGGCCTCCCATGTTTGCTCAGTTGCAATATCTGTATAAATGGTGTCAAACATGGTCACGGGCAGGTCTGCCCCATCCGGGAACTCGGGGGTGACCAGAAATGCGTGATCAGCGTCTAACGGAGTGTTTTCTGTCCCCGGCAGGACGGCCTTAGCGAGATTTCGCCAGGCTCAACTGGAAGAAGGAAAAGTGAAGGTGGGTGTGAGTCTCTCCTACGAATTGTGCAGTGTTAAGAATAAATGCATCGCTGGAGGCCAGGAGGTGGAGGCCGCTGTGAGCGAGGCTGACGCCACGGCGCTCACTCCAGCCCGGGCGACAGAGCGAGACTCTGTCTCAAAAAAAAATAAAAATAAAATATATGCACAGCCTCCCTCCCGAGTAGCCGGGACTCCAGGCACGCGCCACCACGCCCGGCTCGGTTTTTTCTATGTATATTAGTTGGCCAATTAATTTCTTTCTATTTATATAGAGGCCGGGACTCGCTCTTGCTCAGGCTGGTTTCGAACTCCTGACCTCGAGCGATCCTCCCTCCTCGGCCTCCCTAAAGTAGCTGGGACTACAGGCGTGCGCCACCACGCCCGGCTCATTTTTTTCTATATATATTAGTTGTCCAATTAATTTCTTTCTATATTTTATAGTAGAGACGGGGTCTCGCTCTCGCTCAGGCTGGTTTCGAACTCCTGACCTCGACTGAGCCTCCCGCCTCGGCCTCCCAGAGTGGTGGGACTACAGGC